ACATATGCTGCGTTATTCAGGGACACATTTATTAAATGCTCACCTTTGCAGTCTAAATATTTCGAAAACCTTCGGTAGTGGGCTGCCCTTCCTGTGGCTTGTGCTGAGTGTCCACAGATAAGTATGTTTAGCGTTCTTAGCTTTGCTGTAGTTTTTCTGCCTCTCTCTGTTGGCTTTGCATCTCACACTGATTCCTTCTTGGCTATATTCTTTATAAAAGGTTGAGTTTGTTCTGAAGGTCTCATGAGTAAAGTGTGTGAAATACATTGAGTGAATTTTGCGATATTTCTTTAGATTGCTTATTGATCTTTTGTTTACTCTTTGATGATTCTTGTGATGAGTCACATTGAGATGCTGATGTAGTTCCATGGACCATCCAGGACTAGATGCACTTCTCAGCTTGATGGCTATAATGTTACTCTCTTTTGTAGGAGATAATTTACAAAGTTCCATACAAAAGATCATGGCATTTAGGATGAGAACCATTGGTACACATAGTGAAGTTACTTGATAAATAATGCTAAAAAATGAGCTATCCACTTAAAAGCATGAAAGTTAAAGTTAAAATTTTAACTTTAAAGTTAAAATTTTAAAGCTGAGACTATGTACTGCTTCCATTTCTATTATTTCTTTATTTTTTTTGTTTTTCCGGTGCCGGGAATCGAACTCAGGACCTTGCGCTTGCCGGGCAGGCACTATGCCACTGAGCTAAATCCCCAGCCCCACATTTCTATTATTTCTAATTTGTTATTATAGTACTAAATTAACCTTTTAAATTCGTAATTTAAACTTCATTTATTACACTTGGAGGCTGAACTCTATTTTTGGTGTTTGTCAACTTAGAACAGCAGTCACATTTCCCTACAGAGGAAGCTCTTTAGAAACTTACAAGAGCAGGTTTTGGAGTGAATTAGGGATAATTATTCAGTTATTTATTTTCTTTATGAATATTATTTTAATCCATAATTTATTGAAAAGAATTTTAGAAGCAGCATATGATTTTTCATTTAAACATACATACATTATATAAACCTGTGGAATTTTTATTGGAGTTAAATCTGTAACCAATTTAGGAGAATTTTTATTACAAACTTGAGGCTTTCAAACCATGAACATGGTATGTCCTTCCAATTATTGACTTGTCTTTCTGATATGAGGTCTTGTATATCTCTGGTAAATTTATTCCTAGGTGTAGATGTTTTCTGTTGCTATTAAAATGTTATTTTAATTGGCATTTTCTATTTGTTTATAAGCATTTAGTTGATTTATGTGGTTCATTTGAAAAATATGGTGAATATGTAAACATAAAAATTAAAGACACATTGCCATTAATCCCCCTCCCTTCAAGCACACTTATCCCATCATTCTTGCCACTTTTTGAGGCAGTTGTGGAAATCATCTTTCATGAGTGTCTTTAGTTATGCTGTCATGGCTGCCTTATTGTCTAGAATAAATTTGAAATGTTTACCTTCCATGGTCATTTTGACTTTGAGGAAGAGCCAGAAGTCATATGGTGACAGATCCACTGACTGAGACAGATGAAGAAACACCATAATGGGGGCTGGGGATTTAGCTCAGTGGCACAGCGCCTGCCTGGCAAGCACAAGGTTATGAGTTTGATTCCTGGTACCAGAAAAGAAAAAAAAAAAAAAAAAAGAAAAAAGTGGGGGGGAATCCAGGAAACACCGTAATGTTTTTATGAGCTTGCCTTTCAATTGGATGGCACTTTGTATCAGAATTTACTGTATTTGTGATTACATCTTACAAAGGAGGACTTCCAAAACTATTTCAGAGTGTACCAAGAATAATGGGATAACTGTGTTTGAAGCAGAGGGTAGTATTTTTAGGGGGATTTATAGCAGTGTGTGTTACTATAATAAAGTCTGTATTAAACATTCATCATACATTTTTGTCGCACCTTGTAGACATAGCTTTAATCTAAGATTAGTTGATTCTTTTGGAAGAAAGAAAAGAATATCAGTACATTTCAAATACTATTGTTTCATGTTTTCTCCTTCTAACTCTCTAGTTCTTTTTAGGTTTTTCCTATTATTTGTATTTTAAATATCTCAGTTTAATATATTTGCCAAATCCTAAAATAATTAGCATGTTGAATAAATCCCAAATATTTTTGAATACGATTTTAATAAGTAGTTGAAAGTTTGGTCTTAGATTTAAAACAGTTTCAAAAATAAATATGCTCATTGTTAAACTTTAACTCAGCCATTATTAGTCCTCTTAATACTACAGAAAAAGTTACAAAAGGGGGATTCCCCTTTTTCTGTGGAGGATATGTAAAATTATCTAAGTTTTGGTTGATAAATGACTATTTTAAAAATCCCATGTTTATAAATTATTTCACAGAATATTTTAGCAGGTAACTTTTTAAGATTACTTTAACCTAAAGGGCATGATAATTTAAATAAATATAACAGGGAATGGCAGTTTCTTTATGTGTTTAATTAAACCTGGTTATAAAAATATCAGTTTCTATAATATGCAGTGTCAGACTGCAGCATTTTCATTTAAAGTTCTTACAGAAACTTTCCCCTACCCCACTTTTCTTTTTCTAGTCTACCTCAGCAAAGCCAGAGGGAACAGTTTTTGCAGTTGGCTTAGTCACTTTCCCATTATTTAGACACAGTACCCAACACCCCAAACTAAAGGAGAAGAGGTTTATTTTTGCTCACGGTTTCAGAAGTTTTATTCCATGGCTGGCAAGCTCAAAAGCAGAAATGGCATGATGGAAGAGCCTGCCACAGAGGAAAGCTGTTCACATCATGGTGGTCAGGAAGCTGAGAGAGAAAGGAGGAGCCAGGGAGGGTGATATATCCTTCTAGTTCCTGCCCTTAGTGACCCACCTCCCACTAGGCCTCATCTTCTAACGTCAAGTTAGCTGTGAACTCATCAGTGTACTAATCACTAATGATAGAATGCCCATGATCCTATCACCTTGCAAAACCAAAACCCAGCTGGGGAAATATTAATTCCTGTAGCACTATGTCCAGCACCCAGGGCAAGTTCTAGTGAAATGTGAGCTCCAAAGGGCTTGGGCAGTCCTCCTCCCTACCGCATTGCAGGTTGCAGCCCTCATGGCTTCTCTCTTGGGCTAGCTTTGCTTACCACCTACAGCTTTTCTGAGCAGATATTCAATGTTTCAGTCTTCTTCAACTATGTGGGGGTCCCCACTGCACTTTCAGCTTCACTCTGATAGTTTGACACACTGCCCTCTCAGGGACACACTGGGTGACTTCCTAGATCTTCTTTTGAAATTTGGGTTGAAGCCCCGTAGATCACTGCAACTCTTGCACTCTTATTGCAATTCTTGCACTGCCCATAAGCCAACCCATCTAGATAATGCCAAAGTCTGCCTGCAGTTCAACAGTAGCCAGGCTGCCTTAGATCATGGTTGCAGCAGCCTCTGAGTGCTTGTTTAGATGGCTGAACTTTAGGGAACACTTCCTTAATTTTCCCTGCATAAGCTGCATTCTCTGAGGTTCTTTTTTCAATGCAAAGTCTTTGACTTTTGAATCTTTGAGCCTGTGGCATCTTGTTGATTCTGAGGTGCCCTCAAGCTATCTTTCCTAATGTATTGATGAATGTACTTGGATTCTTTTTAATGCAAATGTTTTTAGCAACCATGCTTTCATTTGCTCCAACTTTGCAGGAGCAACTCTTTCTGACAAAACTGAAAACTTTTTAAATGGACTTTTTGCACCGGTTTTTAACTTTAAAACTGACTGAAAGCTGCCAGCAGTACCCATGCCACAGCCTGAACACTGGACTGCCTTGAAATTTCCCCCACCAGATTATTTAGTCTATTGCTCTTAAGCTCTGTCTCCTGCAAAGCCTCTGAACATGAACACAATATGTGGACAAATTTTCTGCTAGAGCATAACCCACAAGGCCTCTGGTCCAACTGCCAGTGGTGCCCTTGTTACCAGCTGAAACTTCCTGTGCCTGGTCTTCACCAAGTACATTTCTATCAGCATTCTGGTCTTCTGAGCTGTGACCAGAATCTGACATCAAGCTTGGACTACAGCATTCTAGGATTTCTCTATCCTTCATCTCCAGAACTTTGCACATTCCTCCTGCAAACTAGTTCCAAAGGCTTCTAAACCATATGATCAATTATAGTTATGATAACCACCCCACTCTTAGTACCAAAATATGTCTTAAGTCACTTCATTGTGGCTGAGACACAATACCTGACATCCCCAATATGAAGGCGGAGAGGTCTAATTTGGCTCAGTTTCAGTCTGTAATTGGCAGGATCATATACCAAAATGGCATAGTGGAAAGGCTTGCCAGAGGAAAGCTGCTCACATCATGGTGGTCAGGAAGCAGAGAGCAAGGGCCCAGTGGAGGAATGCTGCATAGGCCATGGTGGCCAGAAAGGAGAGAGAAAAGGAACAGTGTGGGAAACATATCCTTCCAGGTCACGCCCCAGTGACCTGCCTCTAACTCGGGCCCAGCTCCCTAATAAGTCAACTTTGAACTCATTAGTAGACTAATCCACTTGTGAGTATAGTACCCCGTCATCCAGTTGCCTTCCAAACACAGCAGCCCCCATCTAAACCATAGCAGTAACTATATTGACTTTTAATACGTTTGATACTTGTTTACAAATCAGAATATATAGGTGCTAAATAAAAATATTTTAAGCTGTAGTTTTTTTACTTGATTTATTAGAAGGATTTCTTTGAGAGATTTGGTCAATTCTGAAATAAGATTTAAGGAAAAAGTGATATTTGGTTTCTCAGGTTGATATTGGGCATTTCCAAGTGAAGAGCCACTTTTTAGTATATTTTAATCTACCATTTCTAATCTGTTAACTGACAAAACGTGCTGTTAAAGAATAATTTCTGTATTCAAAAGTAAAATACAGTTAGTGATTTATTTTTAAGGCACTTATGCAAAATATTATTAAGATTTTATAAAACACTATGTTAACAGGAAAAACATATTTAATCATGTGTAACTACATTTTATTTCTTTAGATCCACCTGATGTTCCGCAAAAACTGAATTGTGAAACGCATGATTTAGAAAAAATTGTCTGTAGCTGGAATCCAGGAAGACCAACAGCATTGGTGGGCCCACGAAGTACAAATTACACTTTATTTGAAAGGTAATGTAACCAGAAAGGATGTTAGAAGTACTTTGGAAACACATGATAAGTGACATAAGGAATATTCTAATTCATCCTTATTGTGAGTTAAGATATGAAATTAAATATGCTTTACAAAACTGTGCGTACTATAAAAACTGCAGCTTGACCACAGTCTCTTATCTACTCTTTTAAAAACCTAGAAGAAAGAATCTCAGCTGTAGGCAAAGTCTGTTTCTAGGTCATGGCCAATTATTTTCTATATTATATAGATTTTCTTCTCTTCCTGTGTAATATGCTTGTAATTAAACATGTAAACTTTACAAGTCATATACTCTTATAAAGATCATTAGAAATTGACCCGTTTCTCTAGAAACATTTGTATCTGGTCATTTTGCAATTATTTTTCTTTTAATTCAGTTTTTCAGGAAAATATGTTACATTTAAAAATGCTGAAGTACCTACAAATGAAAGCTATTGGGTATTCTTTGAAATGATTCCGAATCAAGAAATATATAATTTTACTCTGAATGCTCACAATCCTCTTGGGAGATCAGAATCAACAATGCTAGTTAACATCACTGAAAGAGGTAAGATGCTTCTGCGTCAGCCAGGGTCTTAGAATGCATGAGAACCAGCAGAGTGCCATGGGATTAATGAGAACCGCCTTTAGGGATCACTCTTTACTGATTATTTTCTCTAGAAGTACTTAATATTAAATTTATAAACTTTATTCTAAAAGTTTATAAATGAATAGCTTCAAGTTTTACCACTATATTTAAATAAATTTGAATTAGTCATTTACATAGAAACTGTAAGGGCTTTGTCTGTCAGTGCTTGATTTCTGAAAACGTGCACAATTTTTAAAAACTTTGATTTTAAAATAGCATTGGATTCACTGGTTGTTGTAAAAACAATGAACTAGAACCCTTTGGGAGGGAGCCCTTTGCCAAGTTTTCCCCCGAGGGGACATTCTGTGTAAGTAGTATAACATCAACACCAAAAAATTGACAGTGCTATGATACTGTCACTAGATTCCTGCACTAGGCTCCCCATATTTCTGAGTTGTACTTCTTCATGTGTGTCTGTGTCTGTCTGTGTGTCTGCTGAAGAGGCAACATGAGGAAGTTCCTTTGTGAATCTTTACATAGACACTCACACACACACAGTTGAATCTGGTTTTGGCAACAGCTGTTCTTCATCTGTTGTGTCATTTTCAGAGTGTTACTTAAATTATAAAATCTATAACCTTTTGAGGTTGGCATATTTAACTATATAAAGTTCTTGAGGGCCATCTCAGTTGCTGGATGTTCATTGCTTTTTTACTGATGATTTATGATTTCTTTACCAACCCCATTTATGAATAGCTGAGAACAGAAGTATAATGCCTTAGAACCTTTTGGCACTCATTCCCATGGCCAGAACACATGCATTCACTGCAGGCCAGGCTCAGCATGACACTGAGCAGTAGGACAGAGATCTCTTGGATACCCACATTCAGGGGAGAAATAGCTTAAACCAAGTGCATTATCAAACAGCCTACAAGTGAGTAGTAGATGGACCTGTTGTCCTGCTTGTAAATATAAGTGGCTTTCATCTGTTATCCCTTCCTGTCATATTTGTTTCCTGATTTCTTCCAGGATGAAAAAGCTGCATTTTAAAGTTCAGGGATAGTGTTTGCATTTGTCTGCTCCCTGCCATTTCACTGTTTTTCCCACAGGGTTCTTTTGTATCGCTCAGATTGACTTGTATACAGTCACCAGCATAATGTGAATTGTGATGCACACTGTACCTTCATTCTTGTCAAGACCACAACTGAAACACTTTTCTATGTTCCCTTTGCCAATTTTAGTGTGCTTCTTCCTTTGATGCTCAAGTTAAATTCTGCCTTCACTGTAAGACTTCCCCCACCACGCTGCATTTAATTAAATTCCTATGGCAGCTAAGTATCATGCCCTTGTTTGTTATTCCTAATGTGTATTAGAAGTTACTAGAAGTTCCTTAAAAGTAGAGACTGTGATCTTACTATCTTTTCTATATTCCCAACGCCAAAAGAGCCTTGAGTGTTTTTTAAAAACCTTGGCATGTTGTCAACAGCAAAAGTGTGGTTTATGGATTCCGTAGATATCTGGTAGGGTTATGCCTTTTTGGTTTTTGGGTTCTTTAATTCTCATTTGTTGTATTAGGAGTAAGAAGTTTTCATAGTTACAATTTTCACTTATAAATAAATGTTTAAAAGAGTTACCTTTAAAATTCTATTTACAGTTTCTCCACATACTCCTACTTCATTCAGAGTGAAGGATATTAACTCAAAAGCTGTTACACTTTTTTGGCGCTTATCAGGCAACTTTGCAAAGATTAACTTGTTATGTCAAATTAAAATTAATAAAGCTAATTCAAAACAAGAGTTGGTAAGTAAAATTCTTTTATGGTATGTGTAAGCTCCCTATTCTAAAAACTTACTAAACAGGAAAGACATTAATATCAATGTAACAATAGCACTGTACTTAATATTTAAAAATAATTATAATACTGGATGTGATAGAAGGTAAGTTAAACTTTTACTATTACTAAGAATGCATCCAGGTCTAATATATAGTACCCGGCATGTAGCTGGTGCTCAGTTTGGGAATGAATGAGTACTCCTTGCTGTGACCTTTCACATCAGTTAATGGAGTAACTGGCACCAGAGAGTAGTAGTGATTTTTAAAATTACAGAGTGTGACATTGAGGGCAAGTTATAATTGGTAATTATAAGTCAAAGCATGACTTTTTAGTACATTTTAAATATTTAGGTTGACTTATATTATACCATTTTGTAATTTGTGGTAAGTCCACAATAAATAATATTGTACTTATATACTCATTTGGAAATTTACTGATTTCTAGAAAATGAATCAAAACTGCAAAGTGAAACCTGAAAAAAGTCTTTGTAACAAGCATTTGGGAGTTCAGAGGCTTTGCTCGGTCATGCAGATCCTCAAATTTGTTTAAAATTGCTTTTTGTTTGTTTAGTTTAAATATCTGTGGACTGTTTACTCTATGTTTAGCACCATATTAGACGTCCTAGGTGATATAGTAACAAAGATACATAAAAGATGATGCCTGCCTCCAGGAAGCTTCCAGATAGTGTCTGAATAATATACTTAATGCTCAAGCCTTTGAGGTCATCTAATATTACCAAATTATGTTTTATTACATAATCATTAGCCATTGACTGGTTATCAGAATTATATCATCTGCGTAATTTAATATTATTTAGATTAAATATTTGGATTAAAAAGACATCTCATTATATTTTTATTGCTATTATAGAACATAGTTTCATTGACTTGCTACTGTACATATATAAGAAGTGAAATATAAGAATCAAAATATAAAATATCCACTATAGTGGATAAGCTCTTTTTGGTATTTAAATATAAGTTCATATGGACACTTAATTTATTCTACTTATGTGGGAGGATTTCTTAAAAAAATCTGTATGTGTAGGTATATTCATGTATTCGCACACATGGCATATACACATATTTCTTTTCATATAGCGGAATATCACAATCAAAGGACTAAAAAATTCAAGTTACCGGGTTGCTGTGGACAAATTAAATCCATATACTATATATACTTTCCGGATTCGTTGTTCTTCTCATACTCACTGGAAATGGAGTAAATGGAGCAACGAAAAACAACATTTAACCACAGAAGCCAGTAAGTTAACTAAATGATTTATGGCTAATTATCATTAATGGAGAAATGGGAAGATGAAAGAGAGAGGCACTTAACGGTCACAGATGGCCTGGAGTGTGATTTTAGCCCACTTTCTGGGACCGAGAGCTTAGCTTTTCTATTGCTTCATTTTCTTAATTCATTTTTAAGCCACTGGACTGCTTTGCATTTTATTGAGCATTTAAAATACCATAGAAAAAAGTCTTTTAGCACTACTGTCATAGTCACTGATACTAACAACAGACACACAGTATATGAGGTGCTAAACTTTAAATCTCCTTCCTTAGCTCCTTCAAAAGGACCAGATACTTGGAGAGAGTGGAGTTCTGATGGAAAAAATTTGATAATCTACTGGAAGGTAAAAAATCTTAATTTTTCCTTGAACATTTAAATAACTGTATTATCTCAAGCGCTTGATTTACATTTATCTAATACTTCCTTGTCAGGGAATCAGGATTTCCTGGCCTGGCTAAATCTGCAGTATTGCTGAGATTTTTACCTGCCTCCTAAATCCCCAAATTCCTCATCACTTGCCATTTGCCAGTCATTGTAGTGATCTTTGGTCTCAGTTCTGGGCATTCTTTACTTTGATTTTATGAGGTCCATTAAAGACCTGGGAAGTTCCTAAATTCCCTGTCCCTTTCTTTTGTCAAAAACTCAGCCATAAGCTACAAGTTGGAATCCCAAGTGTTGTTCTCATTTTTCTCCTGTGAGTGGATCAGCAGATCTCATGTGGTGCCATAAGTATTGGGGCAGGAGTTTTGAAAAGCATTTCAAGGCAGGCGTGGTGGCACACACCTGTAATCCCAGCACTCGAGAGGCTGAGGCAAGAGGATCCTTGTGAGTTCGAGACCAGCCTGGGCTACAAAGTAAGCTCAAGGCCAGCCTAAACTGCATGGCAAGACCTTGTCTCAAAAAAGACCAAAAAAAAAAAGAAAAGAAAAGCATTTCAGCTATATAAATAAAGAAGTTGAATGTTCATTTTCTTTTATACACTGTGTACCCTTTGGGGGATTCACATTAATTAATTAATCGTAAGTATGAAAAAAGGAAAAAAAATGGCACGAAAGTATTCCCCCAAATACTACTGTTTTAGCACTGTGAAAACTTAGGAACAATTTAAATTTCATATATTCAAGTATAGTGGTAAAAATACTACATGAAATGTAAAAAGTAAAATGTATATAATCATATTAATATGGACAAGTGTTTATATAAAAGTGAAAAAATACACAATTGTGTTTTGATACAAACAGTGAAAGAACTCTTTTCCATCCTTAAGGTAAGGTTCTGACCAAGGTGAGTTACACCATTTAATAACATGGATGTCACAGTGGGGCCATTGATTAAGAGAAAAAAACCCTACATCTAGAAAAACAATTAGAAAGAGATACCAAAACACAAGAGTGTCTAAAAGGTAGAAAAATGGGATAGTTTGACTGGCTGTCTTTCAATTTTTTGTATGTCTTTAATGACATTAACTATTTTAAAAACGAGAAAACTATTATTTTTTAAAAACATGTCAGATTTTTTAAAGTTTTGTTTGTTGTTAAGTAGAGCAATGATTCTGCAGATTTTAAATTTTTGCTTCACATTAATTTAAATCTTCTTCCTAGTTCCTTTAAAGGGACCAGATACTTGGATATCTATGAAGAGAAATCTTGTTTTGTACTTTCTTAATTTTTAAATTTCTGTCTACTTCTTAATACTTGCAGCAAATGTAGCTTTCCTAAGTATGACTTACCTAATTCACCTAGGTCTCAGTGTTTCATCTGTTAAATCTGTGCTTCATCTTGTAGGCCGTTTCTTCTTTCTCTAATGTTAGTCATTGTGAACCTAACATTCAGTTTAGACTTCATCTTGCCTAGTCCCTTATTTTTTGCAAGGTTTCAATAACAAAATTTATCCTCTGTTTGTTATAGCCTTTGCCTATTAATGAAGCTAATGGAAAAATCCTTTCCTATAATGTATCGTGTTCATCAGACGAGGAAACACAGTCTCTTTCTGAGATCCCTGATCCTCAACACAAAGCAGAAATACGCCTAGATAAAAATGACTACATCATCAGTGTGGTAGCAAAGAACTCTGTTGGCTCATCACCACCTTCTAAAATAGCCAGCATGGAAATCCCAAATGGTGAGTGGTTGTGAAAACTTGGTGCATAAGGATCAGAAATTAAAGATAGGTGATGTTACATGTTCTTATGTAGTGAAAACAGTCTTCGCACACATGCTGATTGCTGCCGAACTACACATGGAGGAACCAGCAGATTAATGTCTAATATTCACTGAGAAATAGTAGTTGTTACTGTTGACTTGAAGCAAGTAGTACACTTACAGATAAAGTAATTACTATATCCAATTACTTTATCACATTTGTTGGAGAGTTATATTGGGGGGAAGTAGTTATAAGAAATAGTTTAACTGTTTATTCAAATTTTGTTTTCAAATATCTCTAAGCCTAAGAGGCTATGCTATCCAGCTAGGTTGTTTTGCAAACTATCAGGCAGGAAAAAATACTGGCTTAAATTGGGAGATTTGTTGAAGAAATTTTTTAGTGATAAAATTTTTCTGAAGTCTGAATTCCATCTGTAATTAGGCTTTGGGAAAAAAAAAACTGATGGAGTTTTAAAATTATTAGTGTCTTCCTTTAAATTTTACAATAGTCAGATTACTGTGTGCAGTGACTACTGCATTTCTTCTTAGCTCTATCTGGACAGCTTTTTGAGTCATGAGTTTTAAAGAAATGGCCACTTCTTTCAAATCATTTCCTATCCCTGTTTTGTTGTACCGCCCCTATCTGGGAACACCTTTCTATAATACTCCTAGAGGAAGTAAGGATCTCTGAGTGTCTTCTCAGGTCAGCTCGCAGCATTTTCTTACTACTTGTTATTTAACTAGTTCTTTGTTGTCTTTGAGGCCAAAGTAGGAAAAGTAGGAGGAAGGAATGGGGAAAAGCCAATACATTTCAGAGAGCCAGACACTGTCCTGGCTGGATTAATGGGACAGGCCGGAGAGGCCCAGGGCAATAGAGGTACAGATGCAGCCGCTCAGGGTCATTACAAGGTAGACTAATCATCCTGTATTTGGGTCTGGCCCGCCACAAGCACATGTGTGAACTTAAGAAGCTAACTTCTGACCTAGATTGATTACTTTATTACTCTCATGATAGGCAACAGCTGTATTGTCTTTGAACTCAAGGACTACGTGTCCTCTGACCTTGAGGGATGGTAACTTGCAGAGGTTAACCTTGGCTTGATCATGAGCTTTCAGACGGTGAACCACAGCCTCGCCACCTCATGGCTCCTGGAGGATTTCCCGAGGTGGAGGCTCTCCAGCCCCAGCTCAGGTTTCTGTTGTGGATTTCTAATCATATGGAGCCAAAAAGCTGTTATGTCCAAGGCCTTCTGTATTTTAAAGCCAGATTGTTGTCTTGTGTTCAGTGTAACTGCTTTGTGAATGTACATTTGCTCAGAAAATGTTTCTGTGGCTTTCTACTGAACCCTTAAGTGTAAATCAGATATACAAATTACTCTGACTGCACTGTTCTTTCCCCGCCCCCTTTCCTCACTCCAGCCGTGAGCCCTCCTCCTCATTGAGGGTACACGTCTGGCAGCATAGGGAAGACACACCTGGTGCAGAGCCCCTTTTCCTGCTCGTTTGCCTGCAGGCTCCATGCCGTGGCCCTCTGTGGACACTCCGCTTCACAGCTCACTGTGTCAGCAGATCCTCCCCACCCACCTGCTCAGACTGCGTCAAACCCTTCAGCCATGCCCCAGGGTAGCAGGCTTTCTGGGAAGCAGGAGAGGGCGCCGACTCGCCTGTTCTCCCACTCTTTCGCGTGTGCCCTTTCTGCACACTGTCCGCCACGTGCTGTCATGGAGCTTGAGTTCAGTGCCTTTCACCAGTTCAGCCGCACCATGTCCTCTTGTGGCTTTTTTTCCATCCTCCTGCTCTTCACCCTGTCCTTCCTGGACTTTCATCTTCCTGTCCCAGCCCCCCACTGTTGCTGCCTGATCCTAATTGCCTTTTAATTCTGTTGCTGAGTCAATTGCTGGATACAGGTAAGTGCTGTACCGTTGTTACAACAAAAGTTACAGCAGCATTTCTCATCTTTGCTAAACATTTATGTAGTTTGAGCACTGTTTTATAATTTGTACACAGTGAAGTAATTCTTAAAACTCCTGTTCACTTTCATGAGATTTACCTTGTAGCGTTTTCAATGCCAATAGAATGCCTTTCCTTCTTGTTGAAGATGATCTCAGAGTGGAGCAGGTTGTTGGAATGGGAAAGAGGATTCTCCTCACCTGGCATGCTGACCCCAACATGACCTGTGACTATGTTGTTAAATGGTGTAATTCATCTCGGTCTGAGCCCTGCCTTATGGATTGGAAAAAAGTTCCCTCAAATAGCACCGAGGCCGTAATAGAATCTGGTAAGAAGAGTTAGTGTCTCTCAGAGTTCTTAGAATAATATTATTTACTGCAAACATGCACAAACGTGCTAATACTAATAAAGGGTAAAAATTGAAAAAAGGAAAACCAAATAAATTCACCATAGGTATTGTAAAAAACTATTATTTCAAAGCAACATACAGGTGATTGGGTGGGTGGATATGAATTTTTTAACTTTTCTGGATGGTGATCTGTGGCACGATATACATGACACAACCTGTGATTTCATGATTGCAGTACTTGTCCAGGAATTTATTCTAAGAAATCATCAGAGAACATGAATTTTCCTCTAAGGATGTTCTCTGCAGCATTACTTATAATCATAAAAAATTGAAAACAAATGGAATGGCTGTAAGAGAATGGGTAAATGGTGGTACATGTATAAAATGGGACTGTTACGTGGCAGTAAACTTTATGTCAAAGATCAAACAAATTGGTACCAGTCATTGGAAAAAGAAGACTACAAAACACCCTTTGCTTTTGTTTGCCCCACGCCTATATTACTACACCAGGGAGCCAGGGAGCACAACTTTCCCTGGTGGAGGGCAAGGCGTTGGTGTATGTGTGACGTGAGTGGCCCTCGATACGTTTAGCCACAGGAGTGGTTGGTATTCTGTGGGCTAAATCTGTCACATCCTTTGGACCTGGAGCCTTCTTTTTGGTGTCATCATTCCTTGTGAATAGCTGATGAGCTCTGTCCCCATGGGGTTTTTAAAACTTTTACCTGACTAAGATTGCATCTTGAGCCACCCCTCTTTCCTGGTTCTCCTTATGTGCTGAAACACAGGAGCGCAAGCTCCTGCTGATGTCTTCTTTCCCAGTAAACCCACTTTGTTTACTGTTTCATGGTAGGATGGTGAGGGCACATCTTATTCATTGAGGTACCACGTGTAGCTTCTGATAATTTCCCAGTTCTGCCTGGAATACAGCCAAACCTTGTCACATATGTAGTTGCGCAGAGTGGTGGTGGTCTTCCCTGGCCATCCCTTTACTCTTACTTCATGCTCCACTTGATTCCTATACTGTTGTCTGTTCTGCAGCTGCCCTTGGTGATCCTCTCCCTTGGGGCTGACTGAGCCTCACACAGTTCTGGGCCATCTTCTCACCTGGGCTTTCAGGACAGTTGGGATGGACCAGGGTAGAGTACGTGTGAATATAGATAGTGTACAGGTTGTAGATAGGAATAGAAGTTTTACCTGAGACCTGCAGGGGCAGAGAGGAGCCAGCCTGAGCCATGAAGACCCATAGAGAACTGTGTGCCAAACTGAGTGAGCAAAAGCCCTACAGTGGTGGAGAAATAAAGGCTCTGAGGAGTTAGGTAACTTGCCCAAATTAGCACCAGAATTCAGATTCAAAGCTGCACAAAGCTTTGAGAGGCTCGGCTTCTGACTCGGTGTGGTAGACACTTCTCTTTCCCTTATCCTTCCGTTTCGTCCAGCCAGAAGGAGATACTACTCCAGCAGTATTTCCTCTCTCTTTTGGCCACAGCATGTGTTCCTAATGCTTTCACACACTCGGGCTCTCTTAAATGGCAGAACCCTATACAGTATTGATAATACATAATTTTAACATAAAATGAGGTACAGATTTACCCTTGTATGTGCACTATAAGCATATACAAGCATATCTTTCCCCAAAGAAAAAAGTTTCACAACTAAACAAACTTGGCTCAGTTTGAGTTCTCCATTGGTATTTACTTAGTACATGCAAGAATATAGAAAGCATTTAAGGAAAAATATTGCAGAAAGAAAAGTTAAATTGGAGACAAGTCCTTTCTCTTTTTCTTTGAATTGTAGGATTTTAGTGGCTCACCATTTCACTTTTGCACCAGAGGACTACTGGTGTTCTGTAGGCACATAATTGGAGAACTGGTATATAGTATTAACCACACTAGAATAATTGCTTCAGCATGTGAAATGCAATTCCCTGTGCTTCCATTCTCCTGCAAGCATTGTCTTCTTAAATCCGCCCTTTTGAACTTCTAATTGCCTGTCAAGGCCCTGGTGAGATAGTGCTTATGGTAGCTTTCTGAACCATTTTGGGCTCAACATCTGACGTGTACCCTGAGTGCAGTATAACACTGTGTTATGCTTACCTTTGTTCATGGATCTTCCCCACCTCCTTGCCAGCTTCTCCATACCAGAGACCTTGTTCTGTGCATTTCTGTGTTATTCCTTTGTACACTGCATTAGATTGAGGAGGGATTTAAAAGGTGCATTTTGAAGTGGAGTTAAGATGTTTCCTTTGTATGGCTTATAGAGTTAACTCGCCCAGGAGTAGTTCATGACCATGTTGTAGAGAGTAGACCTTAAAGGCCCAGTTTCTTTAACATTGAAGTTTCAAGGTAGAGTAGAACTCTTAACATTCTCCTTCTTGAAGCACAAGTAGAATCGTGATTTCTTCCCAATACAGAAATAACATTATGTAGTGAAGGGATTTATCAAGGCATGATGCAGACCTGGAGTGGGGGTTAGTGAACTGACCCTGGATCAAGTTCAGGAAGAAGTCGTCATCCCTTGACTTTATAGAACAGAATGTAAGCTTTGGTCCCCTTTATTCTTTTCAAGGCAGGGTCATCTTATAATGCTACGCTATGAGTGGATTTGTTTAATTTTGCTCAGTGATTTTCATTTTAAATATTTACTAAGTTTAAAAATACAAATGTGCTTTTGTAATAAAACATCTATTAAAGATTAGCCTTGGAAATGTCAAAGTTATAAATTATATACTTCTAAAATAAATATTCCAACTTTTGTATATATATACATACATAAATATTTATGAATTTTTACTGATTTGTTCATTTTATAGATCAGTTTCGGCCAGGTGTCAGATACAGTTTTTTCCTATATGGGTGCAGAAATCAAGGATATCAGTTATTACGTTCCATAATTGGATATATTGAAGAATTGGGTAAGTTAAAGGGATAAGTGCTTAGAGTTTGTCGTAAAGTGACAAATAGTAAAATAGAATTTTAAAAATAGATTGAATTAAGATGTTTAGTTCAAGAAAGGTAAAATACTTTATAAGTTTAAAACTATTTATGTATTCTTAATCCAGTTGTTACTGTTCGTATTTCGTAGTTTTAGAAACTACGAAAGTTGTCGTTGTCGTTGAGAAAACTAAAACATAATGTGGATGTCAGAAATATTTTATTTGCATTTATTCAAGTTTTTAAAAACTATTAAATTGTTCAGTACTGGCAGTAAAGAAGGGAAATAAAAATGAAGTCTACTTGAGTAGCCACTTCGATTTTGAACAGGTTGTTTCCCTGGACATGTGTTTGTGTAAAAGTTGTATTATGAAGTTTACTGTTGCTCTGAAAAGTATTTTTGTCTGTGGTTATCATTATATAAGCTCTGTGATCATTCCTGGAAGTTTATGATTGAATAGAGAATACAATTTTAATTCCAAGTTTAGCTGCTTTTCAGGCCAGAGAGCTCGTGAACCAGTACTGTGCTTTTCTGTATTAGTAAACTTTCAGCAGTTGAAATCTTCATTTTACAGCTCCAATTGTCGCACCGAATTTTACTGTTGAAGATACATCTGCGGATTCCATATTAGTAAAATGGGAAGATATTCCTGTGGAAGAGCTTAGAGGCTTTTTAAGAGGATATTTATTTTACTTTGAAAAAGGAGAGAGAGATACATCTAAAGTAAGGGGTTTGGACTCAGGTAAGTAAATCCCTAGCCTGATTATAGAGTTTCTTAGTTCTCAGTAACCACAAAAGAAAGTAAAGAGGAAAGTAAAGAAAGTGCTGCTGAGTAGTTTAATATTGGTTTCCAAAACTGTCGGAAAAATAGGGAAATGAAAATGTAGTCATTTTATGAACATGAGCATTTTAAAATTTTTGATATGTAATAAATGTTATGTATCTGTTGTATCAGAAAGCATTTGTTCATTAAATCATTTATTCTGAAGCTTTTGATTTTGAGCTCCATGGGATAGAAACCATCTCTTGTTACTCTTTCATCATTTAAGCACAGCATCTTACAAAGTTTACTTTAAAGAGTGTTCTTGTACTTAGGAAAATGCAGAGATCCAAAAATACGGCTTCAGAGCCTGCATTATAACACAAGGAAGAGCTGTCAGCATGGCTAACATCTCCCTCAGCTATAATGAGCTGGAAAATGTAATTTATTTGAATAAGGATATGTGAATATCCATTAAATTTTGAAAAGTACAGTCATTCTTTATCAACTACAGAATGTATGCCCAAACAGCTTCAACTCTTAGAGAGTTCTCAAATGTTCTGATACAGAAATATTTATACAGATTTCTAGCATTTCCCTGAGTTACACTTCTGTTGGGAGTCAGATGTTTCTTGTTCACAGACACAGGACACAAGTGGATCATTTTTTTCGGCTTGAAAGCTTTCATTTCCATTAACAACTTCTCAGGAAGAAACACTTTTAATTATTTAATGCCTCTCTAAGAAGCAGAGAACAGCACTGCTACACCCAGATGCTAACTGGGCGTATAATACCTCTGAAAGCCGCTCTGCTATGTATGCTTCCTCAGGCCCCTGGCTCCTGCAGCTCCTGCACCTTCAGGGTTGTCTGTGGATGAAGAAAGCCCTGTGTATCAAACCGAACAAACATTCAAAGTCTAGCATAATTGTCCTCAAATGCTTGGAAAATTTACATTTTAACTAGTTAAAATTCTAGCATCTGGATTTCTGGGTAGACATGGTTAATTGGTTATTCAAATTAGAGTAGAATAAAAGTAACTTTATAAAGCCACAAGGACAAAGAGAGTGCAAGAGGCAAGGTGGCACCCAAAAAGAATTTAGAAGTCTTGTGATTGATATGGGGCAAGTGACTTAGGAGAGTGGAGGGTGGGGAGAGCTAAGTGAGTAGCAGTTGTGTATCATGGACATACAGTGTGATTTGTCCTGCAGGAGCAATGTTGGAACAGATCATTAGGATGAATCTGGGCTGAATGGCGGGGATTGGCTGATGGGCAGAAATGGAAGGACTCGTGTATTACGTGTAAAAGTAAATGGATCCATTAAGCACACAGTAAAATAACTCTTAAAAAGATACATGCCAAGTTTTATTGTAAGGAATTTTCAGATAACTAATGAAGGAGGAACCAGCTGTAGAAATAATCTTATGTTTTTATTTTAGAAAAAGGAAGTCTGTACCCAAAGAAGCTGGTAACATGCATGATTTCTAAGTAGTGTAGGAATAAAGGGAGGGGTTGGTAAGAAGCTGCTACATTTTGTTACTAGCCATTAGTACTACGTGATTTTTTTAAATTATCATCTTGCGTTATTTTGGTTGAGAGTCTTAAAAACAAGACAAAATTTAAGCACTTCTTATTTCATAATCCATCATTAGAGAATTCCCATAATGCAGACCCTTCATCTAAGTGGTTTGGAGTCATCTCTATTGATTTGCACTCTTGCCCCATCATCTGTGCCGCTGACTCATAGGCAGGATCAGCCTGAGTGGAGTGGTTTTCCTGCTCTTAGTAACAGAAAAGGAAGTGGCTTTTATCGATTGCCTGCTGCATGTCAGGCAGTGGTCCAGCAGATGTGTGTGAACTTCATATCCTCTTTATACGACTTCACACAATTCTCCGAAGCAAGTTGTGGTACTTGGTTTTAGCATCAGAGAACTCAAGCCCAATATAGTCTAAACGTAGTTCTTGTCTGGTACAGGTAGAACTTGAATGTAGAACTTGCCTGGCTTCAGATTGTTGGCTGGGGTGGCTAGCAGCCAACTGCATGGAAAAAAAGTGGTTGGTGTGACAGGTATGCATAACCAGCACGTGTTTGAAATGGTGTTAGAATAAATTAAAATATTCCTCATTTGAAAACTAGGTCGTTCTGACATCAAGGTGAAGAATATTACTGACTTATCCCAGAAGACACTGAGGATTGCTGATCTTCAAGGTAAAACGAGTTACCATCTGGTTCTGCGAGCCTACACAGATGGTGGCCTAGGCCCAGAGAAGAGCATGTTTGTGGTGACAAAGGAGAACTGTAAGTTTAGAATTACCATCACAGTGGTCCAAGGCCTATTTTTTATTTATGTAGGAGCCCCTACCCCTACCTTTTTAAAAGTTTCACATTTTATTGCATTTGTATGCTGGGTAAAGACCATCTTTAAAGGTTGTGAAATAACTTAATATTTATTCTTGTCAGATATTTGAAGCTATTTCCAAATGAGTACCTAATAAATTAATAAATTAGTAGTATATTTGGAGCCTAGAAATTTAAATACTTCTTGAATTTATATAATGGTCAGCCAATTAAAACCTTTTCCCCAGCTAGTATGTGATATTTTTAATAAATCCAGAGAAAAGTAAATGAAATAGACTTTAAATTTTTTTATGGGGCTAGGGATATAGTTCAGTGGCAGAATTCCCTCCCTTTTTTTTTTTTTTTTTGGCTTTTTTCTGATACCGGGAATCAAACTGATGACCTTGCGCTTGCCAGGCAGGCGCTGTGCTGCTGAGCTAAATCCCCAGCCCCAAGTGGCAGAATTCTCATCTAGCATGAGTTAGACGCTGAGTTTGAGTCCCAGCGCTGAAAAACAGAACAAAAAACATTGCCAAAAATTTCAGAAACCACAACACTTAATAAATTTAAGGTTGAAGTGGAGAAAAATTATGGCTTTGACTTACCTTCAAACATCAAAAAACTTTAATTTGGTTATAGACTTACTCACTGCTCCTGAGTCTGAGTTCTTATATCACTCATAAGCAAAGAACCATGAGGATATCATTCCCTAAAATAGTGGTTCTCAGCTGGGGACACTGTGCCCTCCAAGACTCCTGACAGTCTGATGACATACTCGATTGTCATAACTTGGGAGAAGGGCACTGCCAGAGCTCAGTGGGTAGATGCCAGGGCTGCTGGTAAATTTCCTACAGTACACAGGACAGTTCTCCCCACCCTCCCTCCCCAAACAGAAACTCTCCTTTCGAGAATTTTAAGTATTAGAATAAAATGATTAGAATATTAGGAAGATTATATTTTTACTAGTTTTTCAGTGTCCCTGGAAAAGATTTATTTTTCTCTTTAATACATGATGCTAAAAATGGTAATTTTATTTGCAACATTTTTTTTTTCAGCTGTGGGATTAATTATTGCCATTCTCATCCCGGTGGCAGTGGCTGTCATTATTGGAGTGGTAACAAGTGTCCTTTGCTATCGGAAACGAGAATGGTAATGGTACCTGCGTTTACTCTGTTTTGTCTTTAGGGGCTTGATTATTCTCTGCGTTACACTATAAGCGTATCTTTTTAACTATACAAGTTAGAAATGGTATTTTTAGTCAGAATTAATATTGACTTTAATCTTAGGCAAGAAAATAACATTTAAAAGTGTTAAAGCTAATACAGTATAAATTCTTCCCTGTTGCTTTTACTAATAATTTAAAGTAGTGGCAGTTGTGCTAAAAAAAAAAAATATTTTCGGGCTTACACATGACAATAAGTATCTTCAGCATTATGTATTATTTAATGATTATGCTCTCCTGTGTCCTGGTGACCCGTGTAGAAGATCAGGTTGTTTGGATCTTCTAATGGCATATTCATCAAGTGTGAAGACCCTTTGTCTATGAAGGGGGTGTGGTAATGAACAGTGCAGCCTGATCTTGGGGACCTGGAGCACAGTGGGGGACAAGGACAGTGACAGTGACCATGAAGCATTGAGGGAGGATGCAGGATGGGGGACCGGAAGCGGGGAGCTGATACCGTGGGGGCCTGGCAGGAAAGCTGCTCCGGGAGAGCCATGAAGGGCAAGGGAGGGAGAAAGAACGGTGCGGTCAGAGAGAAAGGCTCCTGTGAGGCTCAAACTGGGGACCTGGAGAGAGGCTGAGGTGAGGAGAGGCAAGACAAGGCGGGCGGGGTGGGCGGGGCGCACAGGGCTGCGTGAAACAAGTGCTGCCAGGCCCTGTCTGCGTGGAGAGCAGTTCACACACAAACACGTCCTCATCTTCTTCAATGAGTCATTTAGGACATGGAGGAGAATGTGTTTTGGCAATGCTAGCTTCCAAATCAGCACAGTAAGAGCTATAGAAGGAGAAAGTAGCCTATTTTTGATAACTATAGTCTCATTATGAAAAGTCCCATTTTAAAAGCAACTGTTTCACTACTAAAAAGACCAAGTAAGAAGGAAGTTTAGATTTCCTTTAGACTCACATGATCAGGTTCATATTAACAAAGTTATTTTTCCTGTAGGAACTTCAGATAATAAAGTCCTTGTTAAATATTGCATAAAAATATCATGTGACACTGTGCAGATCTCACTTTTTCTTTGCATTTAGTTTTTACCCAACATTGATATCCTTTCTTTTTCTTAGCCTGCCAGGTAATGTCATTGTGACATACGGCTGTCACCTCTCTTACTGTTTCACCAGCAGTCACAGGTGCAGGGCACCACCGCTGTTCCTTGCACGATGCAGATGCTGCTCTGCACAGGAGAGAACAGCAGGTGCAGACACACTCCTTCATGATGGGTCCTGCTGAATTCAGTGTGCAGTTAACAATTACGGCTGCACTAATAACACCTGTAGTTTTCTTTGGTGATTATAGCACATTCCTCATTTTAGTTATTTGCTTTCCAATGTCATGAGCTATACAAACTGTTTAGAGTTCTAGATGTAGTATTACTGTTTTAATTTTCCAATTGGAACCTTACATAGAAGCTCTAGTGCTAAGAATTTCAGATGTTCACTAAAAACATTCATATAGTGTCAATGTAAGCTGATAACTTATCTGATTGATAATGTTATAGTTATTAAATATACTAAATCATTCTTTATTTAAAGGATTAAGGAGACCTTCTACCCTGATATTCCAAATCCAGAAAATTGTAAAGCATTACAGTTTCAAAAGAGTGTCTGCGAGGTAATACTGTTATACTATTGTCTCTAAACTACTGGCTTCTTTCTTTTGTGAAAAGTTTATAACATACAGATGTCTCCCTAAGTAAAAAGTATTAAGCAAAATAACACTGATTTTAACATCTGCTGCATTTCTGAAGTTACTAATCTTAAATTGTTTATGCCATGTTCTTTTTTTCTACTAGTATTAGTAGAAAATATTGATGTGAAAAGTAGCTTTGTTCTAGTGTGCACTGTGGAGCAGCAGAGGCAAATGTTTATAAGCAGATGTGAAAAAGTAAATGTGCCCTTTCTAATAGGAGGAGCATTGCAGTAAGTAATACTTAGTGTTAATAACTATTTTAAATTTTGTTTCTAGGGAAGCAGTGCTCTTAAAACACTGGAAATGAATCCTTGTACCCCAAATAATGTTGAGGTTCTGGAAACTCGGTCAACACTTCCTAAAATAGAAGATACAGAAATAATTTCCCCAGTAGCCGAGCGTCCCACAGATAGCTCTGATGTAGAACCTGAAAACCATGTGGTCGTGTCTTATTGCCCACCAATCATTGAGGAAGAAATTCCGAACCCAGCTGTGGATGAAGCAGGAGGGACTTCACAGGTCATCTACATTGACGTTCAGTCCATGTATCAGCCTCAGGCCAAACCTGAGGAAGACCAAGAAATCGACCCCATAGTTGGGGCAGGCTATAAACCACAAATGCGCCTCCCCATTAACTCTGCTGTAGAAGAGACAGCAGCAGAAGATGACATAGATAAAACTGCGGGCTACCGACCTCAGGCAAATGTAAATACTTGGAAATTGGTCTCTCCAGACTCTCCTAGATCCACAGACAGCAACAGTGAAATTGTCTCTTTTGGAAGTCCGTGCTCCATCAATTCCCGACAGTTTTTGATTCCCCCTAAAGATGAAGACTCTCCTAAATCAAGTGGAGGAGGGTGGTCCTTTTCAAACTTTTTTCAGAACAAACCAAATGATTAAAACGTCACCCTGTCACTTCAGTCTGCCATCTCAATAAGCTCTTACTGCTGGTGTTGCTGCCGCACACTGGGTGTCCTTGGCGGGACACTGAAGTATTGCTACCCAGGTGAACTGCACTGTGTGCAAGTTACACCAGAAGTGTTAACGTCTTTCATGTAGTCAGAAGCCAAGGACAGTGACTCAGAACCCTCACTACCACGAAACCCAACATTTGGGGCTATTGTGACCAACCCAAAGAATTCTTCAGGAAGCATTTCAAGGCCAATACTGTTTTGGACATATATGCAAAACAAATCTTGCATCAGCTCTTCTCTGTTGTTAATGGTTTTCTCTATGTGTACCTAGTAGAATTGCAAGGGGATTTGCAGGCAAGGGAGAGCAGTGCTGAAGTCATGTAATGTTTATTTGCCTGACATTAACTCCATTCTAGAGGAAAACCAAGCACAGATTTTAAAACTTTTAAGATTATTCTCCTCTATCTACAGCATTTATAAAAGTTAATATAATTTTTAATGTAGTAACAACCATTTACTGTTCTGGTTGATGAAGTGTGCTGATTTCTGTGCCTACTGTATAATGGTTATCAAACAGCTGTCTCAGGGTGCAAACATGGAAAATGAGTGGGACGCTGACCAGCCCCAATCAGAATAGCATTGTCTTGCTTCAGTAGATTTTTCAATTCTTTCCGTTATATTTTGCATTTGTGCTAGCTTCCATTATTACAAAGGGATGCCCTAATATTGAAACTTAAGTTTCTAGAACCACAGATCCAAGGATTTTGTTTAACCCATTTTATTTTGTGACATGGTGTTAGCTTTATATGAGCAAATTCATTATTAATCATAAACATAATACTATGTGAGATGACTACTAAGCAATATCTAGCAATATTTGCTGTTTGATGTAGCTCTGATTGGCTTGTATTTCCCAACAATGAGAAGACCATGCCCTTGAGCCTGGTCACCACACAGCTGTAATCTTCAAAGCTTCTCAACAGGTTTTCCTCTCATTCATCAGTCCTGATTTCCCTTTTAAGTGACCTTTGCATCAGACTGTCAGATCAAGTCCTCAGATTTTTAAGCATAAAACTAAGTTGAAGATGCTTCTTCCAGGAATAGTGACTCCAGGGCTATTTCCTATTAAAGGTCATCAATGGATTTGAATTGGTAGCCAGCTCTGTATCACAGGTGTGGCAGCTGCTAGTGAACCCTGTGCTGTTGGTGTCTTCAGCATGGCAACTTCTAACCACCCTGGCTTCTCAGCAGCAATCTCGAGAATAAATCTGGTTCTTGGAAAAGTAGAGTGAAAAACTAAAAAGTGTGTTGTATTTTCCCTGCACTTGGTTTGTTTATGTATTTCATCTTTTGATAGTTTAAGAACAGTACTTGAAATTGGAAGATCTGAGCAAATTAAGGTAGATTTCTTTTGTATCATCTGAGGTTCTGTAATGGATTGATAATCTTTTGAACTTACTGTTTGTTTTTAAAAACCATGTTGTGGGAAAAACAAAGGGTGACAAGGGAAGAAAATCTATTTAGATGCTCCATATATGAATCCTGATTTTAACTGATAGAACTCAGCTAAACTTCTGAGCATTATGATATAGGTAGATACATACTATATTAAATCTATGTAATAGCTCATAGAAATTTTCAGTAATGAAAATACATCAAATCAGAGCCATCCCTAAACAGGTTTATCTTTTTACCTTCTTTAGCTCCTTCCTTTAGATATCCTCTGAGACATTCAGACCTGAAGCTGCCTCTTCTCTCTGCCAGAGCATGGAGTTTCTCTGCTTGTCCTCAACTTGTTCCTCATTTCCTACTGAAGCTTACTGATACCATAGTTCATCTCTTCAGACCAAGCACGAGTGTTGGCTAGAGTAAAAGCTTATTGGTCTAAACTTTACTCACTTGCAAACACAGGAAAAAAATCAAGAAATTCGTCCCTGTCATCAAGATATGTGCACTGCAACTGTGCCCTTTCTCACCTATGTCCTGACTCATTTGTTTGCCTGAAGGTGACTGTCATCAGGGCTCTTGAGTCTAGGACTTCACTGTGGAAGAAAGTTCAGAGTGCCACTCACCTCTTTCTACCTCTGGAGTTCTGTACCCAAGGATCTTTAGGTGAGTGAGAAGCAGAGTAAAACTTGCTTAGTCTGGGCAAGTTCTCTAATTTCCTGTATGCTTAGGAGACTGTGGCTTAGGTCTGAGGCCAAAGCAGCTTTCTTTGTCTTTCCTCACTGAATTGGAAACAGCCAGACCCCTGTCCATGCTTATTATCTTTCCAGTCCACCCCATCCTTCATTTAGGAGGACCTTCAGCACAGGGAGGGAGGAGCTGGTAGGACTCCTTTTGTCACATGTCCAGCTGTTCGAGATCCTGGAAGTTCACTCTTAACATCAGTGCAGGTGCCAGGCCTGTGGGTGCAAGTGCTCTGTCCAGTCAGATCAGCCACTGTCTCTTGGAAAGCATCAAGGATGAGCTAGAGAAGCAGGCCGTGTGTAGTCCCTCCAGTCCTTCCTGACAGGAAAAAGTTGAGAATCCCTCTTTCCTAACAAAAGCTCGATCATTGGAAAACTCTAAATACCTGCACTAAAAGTATATTGCATTATTTCTATTGAGTAGAACTGTAGATCAGGCCACTGTGTCTTGCCCTTCATGGTGGCCCACACGCACGCTGTAGGGTGTCGTTTTCCTACATTCACTTGGCCCAGACTTGCTCTGCAGAGCCTGTTTCTGTTCCTGGCCTTAATGAAACTTCTCTATGGCTTAACAAAAAGCAAAAACCCATGACTGTACATAGGACTGTAGATTTTGACCTCTTCTGTAAACCAATTTCAAATCAGGTTTCCCTTGTAAGCAATGGAGATTCTGGGTATCATAATTTCTATGAGTTTATTTTGTGAGTGGCCATTTTAGAATGTAAAAAATTCTTTTAGAAAAACTTAACTAGGCTTTTGAAATCAATTAGATAGACTTTGGGAATCATGCATTGCATGCGTTAGCACACGTATGCAGTCTAAGCTGTAAGTTGGCTGACTAGCAGAGCTCTGGATTTGAGATTGTGGCCCTGAGTGTCTGAGAGTTGAGTTGTGTGTGCTCCTGCAAGCGCGTGAGTGCTGTGTGATTGAGGTATTTGGTTCCTGCAGGTGGAAACAGAAGCAGTCATTCACCGAGTAGTTAAGGGGAGGAAGCATCACCCTCACTTTCCGTACCAGCATTACAGTCATAGTGCATGGATCTGAGAGCTTGCATTTTAGTAATGAACACAGAAACTGTGGTAAAAAGTCACATTCTCAAAACTTCATGCAGATTGTATTCTTACGGAAGTCAGCCCTACGAACCTGTAGTTGTCTTTCTACTCTTCTGTATTTAAAGAATGTTACAGCTCTTTCTGTATTTGGATAATTAAGTATAGCTTAGTGAAAGAGACTAGGGAATTCTTTTCTTCCAAAAGGAATTTGAAATCAATTTGGTGGTATTGTGAAATTAAATGTACCCCTCAACATGTCAATATTCAAAAAAGTGTTACCTCAAAGTTTTTTTCTCAGACACATAATCTTATAAAACTTTTTTGTTTGCACTAAGGTAATTTTTGTTACCTTTCTGTTTTGAGCTATGTTAAAATTTGTATACCTTTTATAAAGTGCCTTTTTGCTTACGTTGAAAGAGTAAAGTTGGGCATCTCAGGTATAAAATGTGGTTAGAATCATTAGCTACCAGGACTAGGAACATTGTGAAAGTTCAGTGAGTAATTTATTGACTGAGTTCCATCCCAGTGTTAGGAATTTAACAGCAGTTTTAGAAGCACAGTACAGATCAGTGTCTAGTTTGTGTAAATCTGAAACTGTTGCCTCAAAGAAGTGGCTCCACAGTTTGAGTAAAAACTTGGGGAAAAAAACTGATGCATGGGAATCACTAGATATCTTATTCCTTCCTAATTTTAAACTATGAACACAGTTTGTTTTCAACTGACAGTTATACAATTTGGTACTTGCTTATACAAACCCAGCATGCTTTCTGGCAGATACACAATACTGTATGTGTGAGCTTAACTGAATAATACAAGAACTCATTCTCTTGATAGAACATGTCTTCCAAACATTTCCTTTAAACTGTTATTTTGGCTAAATCAGAGTTTCATGATGTCATACTCAGCTTTTCTATCCAGAAGAAAAAATTTTTCTTGAAGAAAATGATTGTACCCAAACCTAGAAGACATTCACTTTCTAAACATAATCTTAGAAAATCATTGGAAATTACTTGTTAGAATTAGGTTTCATTTATACCTCCATGGAGTTATGTTCCAGGAATAGTAACATTTAAGCCTCTTATTTTGCTAGGGTGGTTAGATTTTTATTCCTTTTCAACTGCTGCTTTTGTCTTAACTATTTACATGATCACGTTCATGGAGACATGCTATTTTTATTGTCAGTGTAGAGGGTTGAGAACAACATTCAATTAATTCACCATCAGGTTTTATTGTATATGTTAGAGTTCCAGGGGATGTCATTTGGTATAGAATACACCCACATGCTTGTACTTACGGTATTAGATTGATAGAATTCTATTATTTTTAACGGTTAGTGATGCTTGTTTTGCCCTGTATTGTGAATGTTAATATTCTGAATTATTAGTTGTCCAAGTTCTATACAGAATTTACCTAAGGAAGATGGCTACATTTTTATAAAAATTAAAAGTATTGTTTTAAGAGACAAACTCTGAACATTTTCAAGTAAGTGCCTAGCTAGAGAAGCATAGTAACAATAAATTTGAAAGCATTTGTGTAAGTAAACCGTAACTAATTGAACGTTAACCAAATACAAAGCAGCAGTACTTTACATTACTTTTTGGTTGCTAGAACTGAATACCTTAAAAGCTAAAAGATGTGAATGAGGAAAAAATGTCTAATTGATAAGGAAATTGATGTCTATTACATATATATTTCCTAAGATTGCCTCTGTAGTAGCCAGTCAGAACTTAAAAAGAAAACAATATATAGAATTTATGCAGTGCTTAAATCGAAATACACTGTGTTCTGATAACAGCTCACTTAAATTTATTGAATTTCCTTATTAATTTAAAATATACTTCACTTCAGAATTACTCCATTGTAAATGGGAACTTTCAGTTTCTGAACTTCTCCTAAGCGTTGCAGTGGTATATTATAAAAGATAAAAAAAAATTTCTAGGTGGTGATAAAATTTCATTAAATCATGGATAAGTGTTAGGTTGACATTAGTATTTTTGCAGTTGATCATAGAAAAGAATAGTGCATAATGATTTTGATGAAATTATTTCCAAATGTTCTTCCCCCAGTTTGATCCACATACTTCCCTGTATTTTTCTAATATACATAAGTTGCTGATTCCTTCTATTTAATTTTTTCTTCCAACATAATATGTAGGGAAAATGTGAATAGCGACATGAGTAGTTGAGGACGCACAAAAAGCAGCCCTGTGCAGTTCACTGTCACAGAGACAGAGGTGTGTGTGACGCCTTGGAACTTGCTTTATCCCGTTATTTTCTTTCAAAGGAGCATGGCGTTTCTTAAATACATTTCAGTTTAGGTTTGCTTATAGAGGATTGTCCTGGGTATGAAGAAAGATGTCCTAAGGGGCTGGGGATTTAGCTCAGCGGCAAAAGCGCCTGCCT